ACTCTAAAGACAAGGCGACGCCAGGGACCGACTCGAATCCTGACTCGAATGACAAGGCAAAGCCAGGGACCGACTCGAATCCTGACTCTAAAAGCAAGGCGACGCCAGGGACCGACTCGAGTCCTGACTCTAAAGACAAGGCGACGCAGGACCGACTCGAATCCTGACTCTAAAGACAAGGCGACGCCAGGGACCGACTCGAATCCTGACTCTAAAGACAAACGCCAGGGACCGACTCGAATCCTGACTCTAAAGACAAGGCGACGCCAGGGACCGACTCGAATCCTGACTCTAAAGACAAGGCGACGCAGGGGACCGACTCGAATCCTGACTCTAAAGACAAGGCGACGCAGGGACCGACTCGAATCCTGACTCTAAAGACAAGGACGCCAGGGACCGACTCGAATCCTGACTCTAAAGACAGGCGACGCCAGGACCGACTCGAAATCCTGACTCTAAAGAGCAAGGCGAACGCCAGGGACCGACTCGAATCCTGACTCTAAATCAAGCCAGGGACGCGACTCGAATCCTGACTCTAAAGACAAGGCGACGCCAGGGACCGACTCGAATCCTGACTCTAAAGACAAGGCGACGCCAGGGACCGACTCGAATCCTGACTCTAAAAGACAAGGCGACGCCAGGGACCGACTCGAATCCTGACTCTAAAGACAAGGCGACGCCAGGGACCGACTCGAATCCTGACTCTAAAAGAAAGGCAACGCCAGGGACCGACTCGAATCCTGACTCTAAAGACAAGGCGACGCCAGGGACCGACTCGAATCCTGACTCTAAAGACAAGGCGACGCCAGGGGACCGACTCGAATCCTGACTCTAAAAAGGCGACGCCAACCGCGAACTGACTAAAGCAGGCGACGCAGGGACCGACTCGAATCCTGACTCTTAAAAGGACCGCGAACTGACTCTAAAGGACGCCAGGGACCGACTCGAATCCTGACTCTAAAGACAAGGCGACGCCAGGGACCGACTCGAATCCTGACTCTAAAGACAAGCGACGCCAGGGACCGACTCGAATCCTGACTCTAAAGACAAGGCGACGCCAGGGACCGACTCGAATCCTGACTCTAAAGACAAGGCGACGCCAGGGACCGACTCGAATCCTGACTCTAAAGACAGGGACCGCCGCCGCCACCGCTGGCGTTCGGCCGCCACGAAAAGCGCGAACTCCGGTAATAACCGCTACTATCTAGCGAATCAAAGCATGGAATTGGCGCGAAATTTGATGCTTGTTGACTTTTCCATCAAGGCGATCGCTTCAAATGCCGATAAAAAATATTAACCAACAGCTTATCTTATGGCATAGGTTCATTAAACATGCACTTACACCTTAATACTGTCACACATTCGTAATCTTTCTAACATATACAAACAGGTATAAATACTTATATTTATAATACCTGCTTGTTTCCCCTTAATCCTTCTCACCTGCCAATTTTACTCTTTATTTTCCTCTCATTGTTAACAGTATTACTATTTACATGTTCATTTGTAGGAATAATAACCCATTGTTAAATGTTTATGTGAAATTTGTCACAAATTAATCTTCTCTGACACATATCAAATGCCTTATTACAATCAGATTCATGATTCTTCAATGAATCGGGCTGCATATATTAGAAATGAGATATGAGGGCGTACATACAACATTTTCAAGCAAACATTCTATGTACTGAGGTTGTTCTAATTCTGTGCTGCAGTTAATGTTTACCAAAAATCTGCAGTTTTACAGATGTCATGTACAAGCACCACATATAATTCTAAAGAAGGATCACATGGTCATTGTGTCCCTAAAAGGCCAATTTCCCCTGATACACCAGGAAACTCAGTAATGCCCTGACATTTTTGACTGCGTGTTTGCATGGCTTTGCTGTCACGAAGGAGACCTATCGTTGGAAAGTGCTTGCATCTTACTGTAATATTTCCTTGAAACATAAATTCGCAAAGGCCTGGGATCATTCAAGATTATCTGCTAATTTCAATTGCAGTCCACATGTAGCCATTCACCTATGTTTTAAAGTAATATCAAAGTTATGTGTATGCCCATACATAAATATGTACATTTATTTACATATAGGTGTATATGTATATATATATATATATATATATATTATAATATATATATATATATATATATGTATACGTATACATATGTATAGTGTGTACACATATGCATATATATATATATATATATATATATATATATATATATATATATATAATATTATATATATATTATAATAATATATATATATATATATATGTTATATATATTATATATGTATAATATATATATATATATATATATATATATAATATATATATATATATATATATATGTATGTATATGTATGCATATATATACCTATGTATATATAATATATATATATATATATATATATTATATATATATATATATATATATATTACATATATTTACATATATATTATATATATATATATATACATATATATATATATATATATATATATATATATATAATATTAATATATGTGTGTGTGTGTGTGTGTGTTGTGTGTGTGTGTGTTTGTGTGTGTGTGTGTGTGTGTAGTGTGTGTGTGTGTGTGTGTGTCAGAGAAGATTAATTTGTTGAAAATTTCACATAAACATGGTTTTAACAATGGGTTATTATTCCCACAATGAAACATGTAAATAGTAATACTGTTAACAATGAGAGGGAAATAAAGAGTAAAACTGGCAGGTGAGAAGGATTAAGGGGAAACAAGCAGGTATTATAAATAGCGTATGTGTATGTGTCTGATTCTATATGTGTGACAGTATTAAGGTGTAAGTGCATGTTTAATGAACCTCTCTTTCATTTCTATAAGATACTTCTATATTTATTTCTATAAGATAAGCTGTAGGTTAATATTTTTATCGGCATTTGAAGCGATCGCCTTGATGAAAAAGTCAACAAGCATCAAATTTCGCGCCAATTCCATGCTTTGATTCGCTAGATAGTAGCGGTTATTACGGGAGTTCGCCCTTTTCGTGGCGGCCGAACGCCAGCGTGGGGCGGCGGCGGCCCCTTGCGTCCGCCTTGTCTTTAGAGTCAGGATTCGAGTCCGCGTCGCCCCTCGGTCGGTCCCTGGCGTCGCCTTGTCTTTAGAGTCAGGATTCGAGTCGGTCCCTGGCGTCGCCTTGTCTTTAGAGTCAGGATTCGAGTCGCTCGTGAGCGCCAGATCGCGAGCAAGGTCTATTTAAGTACTTATATAGACCTTGACCGCGAGCGCCGCCGTTCGAATGTCTTTAGAGTACGGCCCTGAGCCTCATCATCCACGTAAGTGCACTTCGGTACGCTGAGTGATTTGAAATTTCGTCTGCTCAGTACACTTACGGATAGTATTTTGATAGATACCGGCCCAGAGGGATAGATAGTGAAACAGAGATAAATAGTGAGTAAATAGATAGCGAAAAATAGTGAAAAATAGATAGACAGATAAGTAGATAACCAGAGTGTGATTAATACATACATCGAGAGATAAATAGTGAAATAGAGAGCAAAAAAATAGATATATAGCAAATAGTAGATAAATAAATAGATGAATAGATAGAGAGTGTGAGTGACTGAGAGAAAGAGGGAGAGAGGGAGGGTGGGAGGAGGGAGGAGGGAAAGAGAGAGGATAGAGAGTGAGGAAAGAGTGAGAGAAAGAGGAAGAGAGGAGGGAGAGAGAGAGAGAGTGGGGAGGGAGAGGGAGGAGAGGGAGAGAGAGAGGAGAAAGAGAGAGAGGTAAGTTAGAGAGAGAGAGAGGAGAGAGAAGAGAGCAGGAGAGTTCTTCGCGCGAGGAGAGGGAGAGGGAGATGAGAGAGAGAGAGAGAGAGAGCGAGAGAGAGAGAGAGAGACGGAGAGAGACGAGAAAGCGAGAGAGAGAGAAGAGCGAGAGAGAGGAGAGAGAGAGAGAGAGAGAGAGAGAGAGAGAGAGAGAGAGAGAGAGAGGAGAGAGAAGAGAGAGAGTATAATGGTCTCTAATTAAGTTATACAGAGTGGCACTATACTGAATGACAGGGTCAGAGAAACACACAATCTTCTTGTTTCTCCACTTTATTGACAGCGTTAGTCGGTGTTAGTGGTAGCAAGGCAGGGATCTTGTCGGTCAGCTCCCACTGGTTGTCGGAATGGTCGGGGCGTTTGTTCTGACCCTGTGAGTAGCGAGCGAAGTAGTGAGAAGGGTCAGGCTGGGCCGCTCTTAGGTCAGTTCTGTCTTCTGACCTCTGGCGACCTAAGTTGTACCTCGTGCCGGACAGCGTGGTGTATATTTAGAACAAGCTACTTGGTACAAACATCCGGTATCAACAACAGGCGTACGAATACGGTTTGCCTTATTAGTAACTTCCATATCGCCGAACAGTATAGAGGGTGCAATACAGCATGCTGCAAGCATACTGCATTCATAGCTAGTGGTCCGCTTGGTCCCCACGTGGGTCCCTATCCATACCAAGTGGGCGCCCACTCTAGCTGCCCCACGCTCGCTGCCTGTCCTCGCTTGACCCACAAGCCACGCCGCCAGCCAAGGGATATATAAGGTCATCCAAGCTGACCCTCATTCTCATTCTCGCACTCACACCTTCAACGACCTTTCCTGTGACCTGAGCTGAGAGAGAGAGAGTGGGGGGGGGGGGGAGAGTAGAGAGAGAGGAAAGAGAGAGAGGAGAGAGGGAGGGGGAGAGTGAGAGAGGGAGAGAGGGAGAGGGAGGGAGGGAGGAGAGAGAGGGAGGGAGGGAGAGAGAGAGAGAGAGTGTTCAGGTTTTTGTTTTCCACTGACTTGGGTGGGTGTATAGATACACAAGTTCTGCATTGGCTGTTTATTCTGAAGAAGTGGTAGCGCGCCGCGGACATGTCTCGTGCTTGTGCAAGACCCGGGCAAGGCAGATCCCAGGGCGTATCGGGGAGAGAGAGAGAGAGGAGAGAGAGAGAGAGAGAGAGAGAGAGAGAGAGAGAGAGAGAGAGAGAGGAAATATATATATATATATATATATATATATATATATATTATATATATAATATATATAGAGAGAGAGAGAGAGAGAGAGAGAGAGAGAGAGAGAGAGAGAGAGAGAGAGAGAGAGAGAGAGAGAGAGAGTGGGAGAGAAAGAGAGTGTGGGGGAGTAAGGGAGAGAGAGAAAAAGAGGAAAGTAGAGAGAGAGAGACACAGAGAGAGAGAGAAAGAGAGAGAGAGAGAGTGAGTTCCCACATATTCATCTCCCCAGATAACATCCAGAGCACTTTCAAGCAACTACACTTCCAACCAAACCACATTTGTGAACTCGACTGAGGCTGAAATACTGCAAATACCTGTCCCACACTATGCACGGATCGCAGTGTGCGTCCAGATTCGACAGCAGGAGGATGAATGGTCCCGGAAGATATGCGATTCTCTAACAACACCGTCTGGAAGTGAGTGCTCGCGCTTTTCCTTAGCTTTCAGAAGCAAGTAGAATTGTTTGCTTATTTGTTTAGCCATCACCTTAAATTGGTTTCAGACGGCACTATTTGTACCCGCGGCGATCCAGATGACTGAAATAGTCACAGGGCTCAGTTTATCTCACAGGGAAGACGAACCTCCGAGATCACTTAAGGTGTATATGATAAACATCGAAGTTCTTGTTATCCACACGTTGCTAGATTTCAGAGAACGTGAGCCTCGGTTTTCATGGAGCGGGTTGCATGTGTGATGGCAAAAGGATTCTGCGCTACATTCGAGACTCCATTCCATACACTGTATTTTTTTTTCGCACGCACAAATAAAGCGGAACCATGCACGCTTAACATCCCTGGCTATATCCCCCGCAGAGCCAGGAAAAGTAAGAAACCTGACGGTCACTCCAGACGACCGTTCCTTGAGACTGACTTGGGAAGACCCGGGCGACACTCCTCCCACAGGAGAATTGGACAGGGTGTCAATAGACGTGAGCAACACATGCAAAATGCTGTGGACGTCTATTGAGCCCATTCGTAAGTTGATTAATGGCTCCGGGAAGTGGGCTTTCACCGTCAGGCATCTCCAGCCCGATTCAGACTATACGATAGAGGTAAGAGAAGTGGAGAGAGCGCAGAGGTCTCGGAGGCGAGTCCCTGTCAGTGTAAGTGATGCTTGGTCGGTTTAGAGTGAGAAGTTCGCCGCGAAATATGTGAATCAAGTAGTGCATCTCAAGTCTGTCAGAGCACTGAATGACTGTTAGGCCTGCAACGACAGTGTAATCCTTAGGAGGACACACACACACACACACACACACACACACACACACACACACACACACACACACACACACACACACACACACACACACACACACGCACACACACACACACACACACACACACACACACAACACACACACACACACACACACACACAAGGGAGGGAGTTGTTGATTAGGCGGCCCCGCAAGTAGTCGGAACATTTATCTCCTCATCTAAGTTTTCTATCTGATCTCGGATAATTGCCGATGTCTGCTCATCTGCATAATGAATATTACAGTGCTCCTCAATGATATTTCATCACTAGGAAAAAAAACAAAAAAAAAAAACACGAGGCACGCTTCTCTTTATTGATAATCACGGTAATGAAATTTAGCCGTTTTCTTTTCTTGTCCAAATGTACTTTCTTTGAATATGAAAATTATACCTTGATAAACCTTTGCAGGTGAGAGTCTGGAACAAAGGAAGTGCTGGCTCCGACGCTGTGTCACGAAAGGCAAGGACTCTCCCTGGCGGTAGGTCGCAGTGGTCTCTCTATGTTCTCTTCCATACCCTTCTAGTGGGCCGCTCTGGCTGCGTCCTCTTCCTACCCCCTCCTTCCCCTCTTGTCATGTTCCTCTCCACATCCTCCTTTTTCTCTTTCTTTCTCCATTTCTCTTTCCATCCGTTTCCCCCTCCGTCTCCTCTTCCTATTCCTCTCCTTCTCTTCCTCCCCTCAGCGTTACGCTCTGAAGTGCATTTCCAATCGTACCACCTCTTGATTTTCACCGTCATGTTTACTTAGCTCATGTTTGATAATAAAAAAAAAAAAACTTCTTTGAGAAGATATGGTGACAAATCAGAAAATCGTCAGCGTCTACAGCTTCGGCCTGAGTGAGTTATTGAGTGACTTATTGATATGCAAATCTTGAACCGAAACAGTCCCGTCGCCGCCACGCGATCTCCTTGCCATTCCCTGGAACACCTCGCAGGTCCTTCTCTCGTGGGCGCCGCCAATCAGGCCTCAGGGCATCCTTGTCAACTACACCGTCTTGGTTGATGGGAAAGTCGACACGTGCGAAGAGGACACGCTCCAAGTGCATCGGTGCAAGGTGAATATCATCATTATCAGTTGGGTATGGTTAAGGGCATTAATAACATGAATGTAAACTCATGGATGGGGTGAGCCTTTATAAGGGGTTCTAGGCATGCTCCGCTGAGACTTTTCAACTCCTAAATTCATTTATCATGAAACAATTGGTGTAAAATTTGATCAAGGTTGGCTGTATTCTTAAAACCGCACCCGTCTCATGGTGTGTTAAACATCGTTCTAATGCATGCCTTAAAGTACTTGAATTTGGTGATCTAACCTTGACAGGAGGGACCAGACCCAGCCTCAGTTTCATGCTCAGATGGCACCTGATGCCTGAAATTTGCTCGAGGTGGCTCCGTTGTATTAGCAGGTACCTAGTGGGAACGACCGTGGTTAGTTTCATACAACTTTTGTCATCAGGCAGTAGGGCGCCTTTTAAATGGAAATTTCACCATGCAAAGAGCACACCAATCAGCGCCTGAGTCCCTCAATAGCCTCGGTCAGGGTGGAGTCTGTTAAGGGGGGGGGGGGTTCAGCCAAAGAGATTTTTAGACCGGCAGCCCAGAGCAGTTCGGTTAAACGAACGAGGTACCAATATCTGACCACAGAGCGGTCAGTGGTTAACCTACCATATACAGATATGGATGTCCGACGGGGACCCTCTGCTGCTTGTGGCCCCTGGGGCCCTTGCAAAGGGCTCCAAAATGCGCTAGATTAACACGCGTCTGAAACCAATTTAAGGTGAAAGGGTATGTCACACTGTGTACCACGTGACCTATGCCGGACAAATTCTCTGCTTAGTTCACGTGTAGCCTGGGTTCAACATTCGAGGTAGCATTTGAAACCTTTTTCAAATTCCCAAACAAACTTTCCAAAGTAAGGGATGAGCAATGCAAGGACAAATCATCTGCTACAAAGAGCCCGCCTGTGAACCTGTGTCAATGCAAGACACCCTTAAAAGGGCTCCGACTTCATATTTAGTCTGGGTTGCAGGGGGCCTTGGTTTAACATTCGAGGTAGCACTCAAAACAGTGTACTAAATGACCTCCGGCATAGGTCACGTGGTACACAGTGTGACATACCCTTTCACCTTAAATTGGTTTCAGACGGCACCTCGCGTGTTAATCTAGCGCATTTTGAAGCCCTTTGCAAGGGCCCCAGGGGCCACAAGCAGCAGAGGGTCCCCGTCGGACATACGTATCTGTATATGTGGTCAGATATTGGTACCTCGTTCGTTTGACCGAGCTGCTCCGGGCTGACGGTCTGTTTCCATTTGTATGGACGAGCAAGGATCACACTCTTTTCCCCATCGTATAGCTGCAGGGCAAGCGCTTGAACGGCATTGCTCAGCCGCAGATCAGCACCCGGAATCCATTCTTTCCTCTCATCATCAATGGTTTTACTAAAACGTTCTTTATTAGTATTATCAATATTATGTTCAATGCAATCGTCACCCCATCACATTGCTTTGCTGCAGAGAAAGCAATAACCGTTACTCACAGATGTGTCATTGAAACTACCTCCTCCCCCCCTCCAAGATAAAAGGCCTCACCCCTGGAGAAAGCTATCGCACCGAGGTGGCAGCGTGCAACAGACTTCACTGCAACTTAGCGATTGCAGCAGAGGTCGCCATGCCATCCGCAAGAGCCCTCCCAGTGTGGATCCCGGTCCTGCTGGCCTTCCTTCTTCTCATCGTCCTCGGATTTCTGCCCTTCATGCTGTGGTCTGTCTCATGTCTGCGCATACAGTGTGTACATGTGTCCGACTTTACTTAAACTTTGCATTTTCTTTTAGTACTCCTTGCCTTTAACATACGCGACTTTCTCAACTCTAAAACTGAAACCATTTCCTCTAGTGTCTTATTCTTCCAGCATTCTTATCATTACTAATTATGGAAACTTGATACGTAACTATTTTCCTCTTCAGGCGAAGCAAGAAATTGGTGGATCGTCTGAATGAAAGAAGACGACCAGGAAAAAAAGCAGTTTTGGCTTCAGTAAGTCATTTGTGCTCAAAGCGATTTTTCATCATGCGTATTGATTTTCATTTACTTTGCCCACTTGTTGGAATGACAGAAGTGTTTAACTGTTCAGTGATAAACATTTCAGGATAAGCCAGCCGAGAACCAGACGCCAAACCCTGATGTGCATGTGTACGATGATCCATACACCCTGGGAGTTCTTTACGCACCTCAAGTGAGCCAAACTGATAGTCCTTTAGGCGAAGATCAGAGGCAAAACAGTATCAGTGGGGTTGTCTATGCCAATCTACCTGCAAGCACTGAGCATCAGTATGCAAATATTCATTAACATCTACTTGTGTATTTTCACATTAACTGGTCACCTGATGTCACTGGGGGAGAGGAGAGGCTGTTATCTGTAGACCCTCATGCTTCCCTTTCAGTATCCTTTCACAGGTGTGCTTAATGTATCATACTCAACAGTGTGCCATGCATTGACTCAACATGTAGCCATGTATAGACTTGTAGGCTGGCAGGTGATCGAGTTGGGGCAGACGGCGACCCCCTCCATCTTGGGGTTCACAGTCAGTGTACATGGTGACTTGGCTGTCTGGATGAGTAATCATGTTTTTATTGTTTATTTATCTTTTGTTTGTTATTGGCGCATCCCCAAGTCTCGTCTCCACCCTATTGGGCAGACCTCAAGCAAGGGGAAGCGAAGCCACAATCTGT